AGACAGGTAATGAGTTTGATTCTTTCAGTTGTTTGTAACCCTTGATGTGCTATTTCTCCTAATTCCTGACTTTTTAATCTTGGAGAGTGCAACAGTTTTTGTTGGTGGAAAATCTTGACTTGTCAGTATAATTACCGTATAAAATTTTTCCCTTCATATTATTCTTTTATTTATTTTATTAATGTCTTCCTCTTTTACCTTAGATATATATTGTATTTATAAAGGGCATTGCGTATAAAAGGCTTAGTCTTCTGTAACGTCCCTATTGTTCACTATATATACTTTTATATTTTGTTCAATAGAGATTATGTAATAGGCAGTAAATGTGTGGAAAATAAAATTGAATTGAATTAAAATAGGATTGAAAATGCGCCCCTTAAATACCAAGATACCACTTATTATATTTCTTTCTTATGCTTTTCCTAAATGATGTTTCATTATATAATTAATAATAAAAAGTATATTTATTGATGAGTATTAATTATAATATAGATTATTTAAATATTTTCTTCCCCTTTTTTACTGTTGAGGCATATTTGCCATTTATATACGATTTATCGTTCGTATATTTTTTGATGAGTTTTCTCTTACTCTTATTTTACCCTGATCACGTAAACTTTTTTCTTCTTTCGTTTTCATTTTGTATTCTGTTCCTCTACTGGCTCAGACTCTCAATCTTAAAATGTACTGTAGGCTAACGGTTGCCTCTAGTTATAACATTATTTAGTATGCCCTGCGACCACAAAACATAGGAAACGTTCATGTAGTTGTGTTCTCATTTTCTCTTCACTTGCTAATTCTCGTTTAAAATACGATATGCGATGTTTACAGTATACATAACAAATATATGTTTTTTACTTGTCATCTATTTTCTTAAATGGTAATTTTACAGTATTGTATAAAGCATTCATCACTACATAAAATAAAATTGTACAGATGAACAGTTATCTATAAAATTTGACATCACACTGTCATAATGTAATGCAACATTTAAGATTCTGGATATTAATTATATAGTGCATTACCTGACCAACAACATTGAATTAAACAATTTTTTTTGGGTGGGGGGAGGGGGGTGCTATTCATATAATTATTTTTTGTATATTTGTATAATTTTGTATTTTTTTGTTTTTGCATTAAATGTTCTGCCCTTTCTTCAAAGGTATACCACGCTCAAGACATGGAGGAGACATCGGCCACTTTTACCCCTTATCTCCAGGACCATATAGTCCACTTGAATATGTGCAATGGTAAGGCTTGTATGGAGTTAATATATAATGTATTATTTTCATTATTTTACCCATATATAGTTAAATGACAAGTGTTTATGTAGCACTGCTTCATCAAAATTTTGGCACTCAACAAAAGAAAATTAAAATATGTATATGTTATAAATTCAAGTTTATCAGATTATAAACCTTTATTAAACAATATTTAATTTTTTTCTGGCATTAAAACGATAAATTATTAGTCACTTGTGCCATTATTAAAATTTTTATTGAGAAAGCACAACATGTTGCGTTTGGTTCCTTGAGACCAGCAGTACAGCACCACGTTAAGACGTTTATCGCTCTGGGACATTGAGTACCCTCATTCAGATGCTACACGAGCCTTGACAGAGTTCGCGCATAATCATCATATTCAATCACGGTTGTTCCACTGCTGCATGAAACTTTAGCATGTCGTTTCCAGAGGTCTCGATCTCTCGCTCTCTGATACTGGTTGGCATATCCCCAATATTGTTGTATTTCATCTCTTCGTCATGACCGCATAAAGCCTAAACTCAAATTTTTAACAGTAACTTGTAAAAGTAATTAAGATATCTTATTTGCGAAACACCAAGAAGAAAAATTATCTTTAATATTATCCCTGAGGGTAGGATTTTCCGAATTTGGCTCTATCATGATTATTATTCTTTGCCAACCACTATATTCATTATATACACTATAGTAGTGCTACATGATGGTAATCAGACAGATAAGGTGTTGAATTGGAGCTGACAATGCGAAGGTCTCGACGGTTCTTATCGCAATTTCTCTTATTACAAAGTTTCTTCACTATATCAGGAAATATTGATCGCATAACATTAAGTAACACAATCATATTAAGGGATGATAGAAGTTGTTATCAAAACCATTAACTTGATTGGAGTCTCTTAGTTCTTTCGTGGGAGATATATAAGATAACTAGAGGGAGGACATATAACGAACCGTTGTTATTAATACCGACCGCACTGATACATACACGATGAAGTTTGTCAATTTATATTAATCCAATTATGGCTAGGGGAACTCCCTTAACATTATGTAATAATTATAGGATAATTACCCACAGGCCAATTCACTCAATAAACATTGTTGTGCATGCGGCTGATAGAGATTCCACTTACAAAGACCTTGACAATCGTTGTCCTTTACAAGTCAACGTTATTTCAGCAAGCTTGATAAAGATGCGTTAAATCGTGAAGGTCTGTGACAACACATTCAAGTGGAGGCTAGTAGTACGATTAACTGCTGTAACATATTATTCCAAGTTTCATGAGTCCCCGTAACATCACTACTTACGTTTTAGTTTTAGTAAATAGTAGGCTAGACTACACACCATTAGCTAATACCAAGACCAAGGAATTACAGTTCGGGCAAAACATTATTCTAAATATCGATGTTCAGCATCAAAAATCAATAATTAAATGAGTATCTGTTTAGCATACTCTTTTTCTTGATACAATAATACTATTTTTAGGAATCTATTATTAGACATGTAATTTTCTATATTAATAAGTACTGCAATCAAATTACATAACAAAATAAAATTTGATTTGAAAGTATTGGTTATTGTTTTTTATTATTGTATAGATTCATTTTAAAAATTGAAAACTTGGTTGATTAAAATAGACAAATGCAATAGTTTGTTTTGATTTTACACTACAACAGGAGTTATCTATATCAGACTGGAAAATTCCATTAATATTCACTTAGTGTCTGTGAAACATCGTCAATGCAACTTCATGTAAATCTTAGATTATTCCGACTGAGTTAATTCTAAGATTACTTTAACGGAATCTTACGGAGCATTAAGTGGAATTGTTAAGGAACAAACATCTAATAGATTTAGACAATGAAGGATTCCTATCAACTCTACAACTTTCACTCTCGACTTTATCGTACATGTTAATGTACGCACTTTACCAGTTAAAAAAAAAAAAGAAAAAACATTTTACAACGTAAATCATCTGATACGTATTCCCAATGCCGGCCTATTCCCACAGATTGTTAACACTTTACAATACTGCAGATAATTCTTTATGCTTCGTTGATTTCTGAATTAAGCTTACTTTTAATCATTGCACCTAGAAATGTTTGTAAATGCTATTATGGAAATGCATCTGATATAAATCATTCGTGGCTGTGGTAATATTTTAATTGCATAATAAATTTCAGCGTTACCAGCTTTTTTGATTGCGATCCATTTGTAGGCGATTCTAGCAACCATTTGGTGTGACAACCTTGAGACCTCGGCGCAGCGCCCTACATATGCGGCACGTATCTTTTGACACTTTCACGGTTTTCAGTCAAATTGGCAATGTGGAAACAACAATTAAACACTCAGTGTCTTCCTACATCCAGGAGATATTCTCCAAAGTCAAGATGTGTCCGGTATATTGACTGATTTGGCTGGAAAATGTGTTTTTTGGAGGTGGAATTCCGCCAGATGACTGTAAACGTAGCGTGATTCCTTTCGTTGCAATTATTAGTACAACATGAGCTTATCAAAGATGTTAACTTGTTTCAACTTTAAAAACATATAGGGTCGCAGCTCGCCTCTTGTGGAAAACGTTTATTATTTTTACTACGTTCTATTAGTGTCTAATTACAAAGTGTATGATATAAACAAATCTGAAATTAATGTCGCAAACTCAGTACTAAATTATAGATAAACATAGCAGATTGACATACGTTTATCCAAACAAGAACCTTATGCTCAAAATTTAAGGGAAAATAGTATCTTTATTGTTGATATTAATAGGGTTGAATCTATAAGAAATGTTTTGTTACTTAATTTGAGGTAAAAATTCAACATACTATAATATGACCTATAGTAGTAGGTACATTAATGCAAAGCTTTATCGATGCGTTTTGTGTTAAGTGTAAGTACCTTATGAATTATGCAACAATGTTTCACATTTGACCTCTAAACTTGATGAACTTTTCCTTCTATCAAAGATACCAGTAGACTTTATTGTATTTGTATTTATAAATATTTGGCTACATCATTATGTAATATTAATATAAAAAATTATACTTGAAAATGAGGAATTGGATTTTGATAAAATGAGATATTTTTTACAATGAGATGTGACGTAATAGAAGGGGACCCTACTTCACGGGACAAGACGAGATGGGAATGGACGTGATTGAAAGATGTGATAGTAAGGGATATAGTGTATTATAAATTGAAAGAGATATGAAATGATAATTGGGCCATGACAGGATGTTATTGCAAAAGGCAGATAAAGATCGGATGGGACGAGATGAGACACGATGAGTTAAGGTTAATCCTCAACAAAATATACACCTTCTTTCGCTATTGGGAGGGGAAAAAACTATAATTTGACACCTTTCAAGCTAAAAAAACAAAAAAAACAAAAAGAAAATTAAACTTGATTAAAAGTACCATTCCACCCAATCATAATTAGACATGTCCTAGGGCTATCAAACGTGTATGATTACAAGATTGATAAAAAGAAAACAAAAGCAAGGTAATGGAGAACCTTGTGGCTGACTGCTGTCAAGGTTGCTGAGGTTCATAATGCTAATAGCACCGGGTGTCTTCCTTGACAAATAATCGCGGTGTGCACGTTGTAATCAGCTATTAATGTGTATCTTCACTAATGGCAGTTTTGGCAGTGTACTTTTCCTATGATCCTTGAATGTTGGCGAAATATTAGATTTGACGATTGCGTAGTACACTCTGTAAACTCATGTAATGAGTTAAGCCCATGGCTATTTGGATCAATGTGTGTGTAATCTAGCGTAATTATCATAGATGCATTTGTGTTGGATTCAGTCGGGAAATGCGATTTACGGCCACGTTTAGCAAGGGACCACTTCTTGCACACCAGTAGATGGGATAATTTGTCCAACCAGCTGGGGGCTCTACGTCTTGCGCATAACTTATAGATATATCCATTCATCTGGTAAAATAATATTAAATTTATTAGGTTATAAAATAAAAAATGAAACACCATATGTACACTGTACTTGTGTTCGAATTCTACTACTATTAAATTGATAAGTTTTATAAAAAAGTACAATAACATCTTGCTTAACATCGAAGCTGGACTACTGTATGCTTGCAGCCAACTATATGAACCATTCATATAACTGGAAGACCATTTATTAATTACATTTTTTTGTTGTGAAGCGAGGAGGAGGAGGATGGCGATGGTTGTAACCTGGTGCGTGTCAAATTTAACACAATTCTTTTATTAATATCTTCAGTTTCCTCGCTCAGATACGTTGGCTTGGCCATTAAATTTAGATGGACTGTGATCATGTCCTAGACAATTCTTCTATCGTGAACTTGGTCTTCAAAAGCACAGTTAGTATAGGTCGCCATATACACTGTTACAGGTGCTTGTAAGCAAGGGATGAGTTCCTGTGCTTATCTTGTAGCTTAGCTACTAGATGGAGCTGCCTTGCGCAACCTTGTACACTCAGCAGTGAGGCTGTATGATTCTGCAAACATTAAAATATTATTATTAGAAGATATGAAATTTTATCAAAGTTGTAGTTAAAATAATAAAATAAATGTATATATTTTTTTTCTTTCAGGCAACGACAGCCCTTTTATCCTTTCTCCTCAACAGCATTGAGGTCACCGTATTCCTCCCCTCTATCCGTAAGTGCTGCCAGCATACCTAGACTAACACCCACAGGTTTACCCCCTTCACATCCAGCCATGCATCTACCTGGAATGCCCCCTCATGCAGCGATTTCTCTTGGTGTGAAGCACGATTTACAGCAACATAGTAACGATAGGTGTGTATTTTTTTTTTCATATATATTTTTGAAATGACTATTAACGGTTGGTGTAGCAGTTGTGGCTTGGACTTTGAGGTCACGCTTCAAAATTATCTCCGTGCATTTCGCATTAAGCAACTACATTTTTCTCTCTATCCTGATGTATATCTGGGTACCAGCATGTGCTAGGAAGGTAAACAGTCTAAAGTTCAATGAAGTTGCAAACTCCTATTTTCCCCCCACAGTGTTGCACAGTTTGGCCCAAACATCAGGGAAAGAGAGATAGCCACTTCAGCCTGCAAGGTTGTAGCTGTAGAAAACTGAGGGTTGGAGATAGACATTTTAAGGGTGGGTGGGTTTAACATTTGTAAACTTAAAATAATAAGAGTGGATTTTAAAGGATGGAAAATTGTATTAACAAGGGTGGGTGGAGGACCATGAAAATTGACCTTAGACTGGATTGAAAACTTCAAGGCTGGGTGGCACCACCCCCACCTCCACCTACTATAACTACATCCCTGGGCCTGTGAGCTAAGAGCTCCAATTTCGTATTTACTTTTTGTCCCTATTGTAGGAAATATGTATAAACCCCATCATTTTTAAAACCTTTAGTTTAGATGAATCATCTGTTATTGTGAGAATATACACAGTTCTGAGAATTTTAGGGGTCAGATACAATGATACCCAAAGTCACTAGCCTTTAGACAGTTCTCTAGGGCAGTTTATTGGATCACTACTAAATTCTGGAACAAAATGTTTCTATAGGAAAATAATTCTCAGCTTAAGTAATTAAAATAATGATATAAACAAAATATATATTTTGAAAGTTTTTGAGGAATTATTTAAATCCCAATGTATGCCCTCCTTCTAATCGACGTACGATCATGTTATAACTACAAGTCTAAAGAAGTACGCCCCCTATAATTAAAGTGAGATTAACACCCGTATTCTAAAGACAAACTTTAGTCAAACTTCTAACTAGAACTTCATTAGTCTTAGTTGCAACTTCAATTTGTATTTACAAACAACGTAGTCGAAGTTCTAACTACGACTAAATCAAGTCCTAGTTGTAGTTCAGCTGTAGACGGCTGGCAAGCAACAACTATCAAACTAACCAATGGAAAGAGCTCATTTTAATAGACAAAATTTTAGAGATTCAGTAATGCGGATGAATATTAATCTGCCATCTGTCTTTCAAAAACATATTTCCTCATAATTTATAATAGACCATTATTTGTCTAATGTTCTATAATAATAAATATATTAGTCGTTGACAATATAGAATATGAACTGTCACTGAAAATTTGCTTTCTTTGGAGAACTATTATAGTTGAGGTTGAGCGAGGGTGGTGCCATCTTTTTTGTTGTTGTTGCGGTGAAGCTACGTGACCGCAACTCGAGGGGATTTCATGCAAATCAGGAACTGTTGCATGTGGCTAGCAAAACATGTTAATTTTGCCTTTTTGAAGATAAACGTAATGCCTCTTTTCTTGAACACACTTGAGATACATTAGACATATTTACACAATCGTTTATATTCTCTTCACTTTATCGTAAGTTAAAAAAACCATGTTTTTAGTGGGGTAAATAGTTCAAGTCGGCGATTTAGCCTGACCCTAGACTGACTAAAAAAATCGGCCTGAGGTGGTATAATTTTAATCGAGGTTCGCATGTTTTGGTCATAGTCCTAGTCGAAGTTTGTTTTAAGAATACGAAATAATGTAATTCATAATTTTTAACGACTAAAGTTCGTTTTAATAATATCGGGGTATGAGTCATGGTTTTCAAACCTCTAGCTAATATTAGCTTTTGAAATATATGCATTTTAATTATTTGTTCACATTCAATATTAAAATTCAGTTGGTTATCTTGGTCCTTTTTTGATCATAAAAATTAATTGTCTTAGAAATTTCATGGTAGGCAAGGTTATAAAAGTTAACCCCATAACCTATTATTCCAAATAAGATAACCATTGACATAATTACTGTAAAAAAATTAAAGGCACTCCGTATATCCAACAGTATACTTTTAAATCATATTCTCCTCATGCAAAAATCTACCATTCCATATCAAATTTTTATTGTGTTATTAGATCGTATGTAATTGGATTTCATTGGTTATGATGCTGAGCATGTGATTAGATGTTGATCTTTTTTTTATAGAACATTTTGAAGAACTGTGTTACTGCTAAAAGTTGGACCATAAACCTATGATCAATAAAAAAAATGCTTTGCATGTCTTCCCAACAATAGTCAGTAGATGTCGTGCAAGAGATAGTGGTCATTTTACATCACAGACCAGTCCTTTGCCAATTATATTCATACAATTTCGTCCATTAGTCAAAATTCTAGATGGCTTTCAATGAATGAATTGCAGTAAAGACAAGCCATGTGACATGCATTCCACCGACCATAAAGATAAATCATTAAGTAGGAAACATACACTGCTTTTATAATGGAAAGGCCTCGGCGAGGGTCGTACATTTATCTCCAAGCTTTTCATCAAGCTTGTTCAAATTCATTACCTTCGTTTTTATAGCATTTGCCTGTTGAAAAATTATTTCTAAGCTGTTTTCTCTTCTCATCTTTTTGAGATTCTGTTGGGGTATGCAATGCTTGTCACATTCAGTCTCCTCACTCGATTTTACAACATATGTAATTCTTTTGTGTTTGCCTGAATTCTTCTGATGTTAAGATATCGGATTAGTTAAGAGTTCGTAACGATGTTAGGTTTCATTTTTATTTCATAATCTCCGAAGCTGTGGATATTTGTTTTATTACCTATCCTTAACCAACTTGTCGATATCACTCAGTAACCCGAGTGCGATTCCATGTATACTACACCGTTGCCTTTGTAATTTTTTTCCTTGAAGAGTAGTTTAGCAAATTTATATATTATTGACTGTCAGTTTGAGTCAGTGTTGTAAGTTCTTAAATAATTGATAAGGTTATCCATTTAAACCTGGATTTTTTTTTCTTCATTTTTTTTGTCTTTGTAGTAAATTTGATCTACCTAGTAACCTTCTCACTTCAAAGTTACTCACTATCACTTCTGTTGATAGTTAACATATTCCTATAAATACAATGTTTTTCTCTATGAAGTTTCTACACAGTTACTACATGACACTTGTTTTCAAGGATTTTCTTAACTGATTATATTTTCTTTACATCTCGCAGAGAAAGAGAGAAGGAGGCCCCACGGCCACCCGAAAAGAAACGTCCCCATGTAAAGAAACCACTTAACGCATTTATGCTGTACATGAAGGAAATGAGGGCGCAAGTCGTAAAGGAATGTACTCTGAAAGAGAGTGCTGCTATTAACCAAATACTTGGTAGAAGGGTGAGTCCATTTTGGATGTATTTCAAGTTAATTGGCTAATAAGCTCTCAGTCAATCAAATCAAGTATAAAGTAATCAATCAAATAATCATCTGATATACGATCCAAATATTTTTGTCGTGAGTAAATTTCCCCTCATGATTAAAATCGAAATGATACTGGGTTTGGTCTACAGGAGGACATTGTGAGACAATGGAAGAACTTTGTTAGATGGTATGAGATCATTGCATTATGAACCTTTTAGATTGATTGATTAATTGATTGATTGATTGGTTGATTGATTGAAATGAGGGTATATTCTATGCCAACATGTATATTTCATGAGAATAAATATTCACAGTATTTTTAGAAACAGTCAATTTTGGATAATTCTTTTTTTATTTAACTGCATTATCAATGTATCATTGTTAATCAATTGGCTGTCTGACTGACCAACCATTCAATCATTGGTTAATAAAAATATGGAAAAAAAAACTTCAATGTAGATGCGCAAAGTTTAATAATCTTTCTAATCATGCTCTGATTAATATTTTATTGAAAATGTTCCTTGAATTATTACCTGAGAATTATTGATTTAATTTAAGATAGTTGTCTTTTGTTCTCTGATTTATTTGACGACATCATGTAAGGGTTCGTTTCCAATACTAGGAAGGCATGTAATAGTTACGAAATAACAAGGTGATTAACTTATAAAGGAATTGAAAAAATAAGGTGACACTGAAATAATTCATAGTAATATTTACAATACATTTTAATTTATTAAACAAATGTCTGCCAGTCAGCCTACCTAATAAACTTCATTGACCACAATCAATGTATTTATCTTCTTCATATCGCGAAGAGGCTGTGCGAAGAGCATACTACTAAAATCATTCTAATATGTGCTGCTAATGCACACTGCACAGTGATCACTAAGCAACGAACATAGATATAGGGCCCATAGCAACTGCACTGCAACCAGCAGTTTGATTATAAAAGTCCAGAAAAGTTGATCACCGTCACAACTGACTTAAAAAGTAATTATAGTCAAGTACTTTCTTACACTATAGGAAATAGAAGCCTTATGAACCATTATTTCTTTAAAAAATTGCCTTCTTCCCTGTGGGCTGCAGTTGATTTTTTTCAGGGAATAATGGCTCCTTAGCCTTCTATTTCTTATCGTGTACTCAAAACCTGACTATAATTGCTTATTACATGGGGGGGGGGGGAAAGATGGTCAAAAAATGAGTATATGTATTTTATACACTCTTAGACATCTTATTATATAAATTTCAATTGTTTATTTCCAACTGTTTGATAATTGAATAATCAACCACTATAAGCACAAGGGAAAATCATTCTAAAAAGAGAATTTAATTGCTGTTCAAATAAACAGATGAATAAAGTGAACCATAAAGTGACGTCCTGCTTGAAGAAATATGAGTTGGCAAACAACAAACCACGTGGCAACATACGCACATTTAAGTAGCCATTTACGTCTAATTAGTTGAGATCGTTTGATAAGCCGCTTACAAATACAAACCAAAACATTCAAGAGTGTTAGAGAAAAAAAACTTAACTGATCGCTTGGTCCGTGATGTATGCTCTCCAAACAGATAATAGCCCGAGTCCCCGGAGAGGGAAGATGATCTCCATCACAGTACGTTTACACCTCTTGGATGGTCTGCAAGAAACCAGTGTTTGCCGGCAAATGTCCTTAGAGGGAAACTCTATTGTCAAATGTTTGTTAATGTTACCATTAATGTCAAGAATATTGGCTAATTGGTGGCTACTTTGTACCGAATAACATGAAGCTAATTTTCTATTGAAAAAGTTAGACTTTGTTTATGGTAGTTTTATGTACATATTTTGAGATTAATCATATTTCCTGTCCTTTTTTTTAACATAAAATAAAGGAAATTAAAAGAAAAATAAAGCACTTCCAAAAAGGAGATTAAGAAGATAAGATTGTATAGATCATAATAATAATATACTTTTCTTCCTTTGATGATTAAAAATGACCTTGATAGTCAGTTTATTAGGTTATACCAAAATTTCTACTTCAATTTTGTTGGTCACTTTGATTTATTTTCTTGCATCAAACTAAATACATTTTGAATATGCCTTTCATGAAAATCGTATTTAAAATGTATTTTAATGTGTTTTTTTTTTTGTTTTGCTTTTTTTTTTGGTGACAATTTATCTTTAAATTAGATTGATCACTATTTTACTGATAATCATTGCATTGAATAAGCATAATACAGTCCATGAATAAAAGGTTTATATTTAAACATCTCTGAATTTTTTTAGTCAAATGCAAACAACTGATCAAAATATTATTCTGTAGTAACATTGTCATTAGATAGGGTTTGACCTCCGGCTGTGTTTTTTTTTGCGTGATCGTATAAGAATTTTCTCAACAAAAAGTAGTAATTACATCCATTGACCTTTCAACTATTTGTAATGCTTCTTAATTGATTTGTTCATTGTGTGTTAAAACTGTGTAATTCCCTTTTATTGTCCTATCTGTTTTTATTAAACCATCTCTTAGCCGTCTTATTATTGTTGTTGTTAATCTTACGTGAATACCATACTTAGAGTAATTATTACTAGTGTAGGCCACTGTTATAATCAATTATTTGATCATGAGCCATGAATACTCACTGCTTTGGAATTAGCTATGTGGATACTGCTTAGAAATATTTTTTTGCCATCATTTGCGTTCACCCATCTTTTAAATTTATCATCCTGTGCTCGTCTTTCTAATTAAGCAGGTCTTTTGATTCATCTTCAAGAGAACCTTATTTTTATTGACCGTTAATCCTCAATCATTCACCTCATCCACGCAACGATCATTTAATTCACTTTGCAGTAATCCCTTCGCAGTGATAAATCTCTCCGCAATACCATTGGTCTTCCCCAACCCTGCATTTTTAATTCTTCTCTACTAAATTATCCTGCATAAGCATCATTATTTATCGTCAGTTTAATAATGTTCATAAACCCCTAGCCATCCTTTCTATTTAACATCATTTTTAAACTATTTTTATCTAATTGCTAGATCAACTTTATTGTTACTGTATATTATTATTTATAAGTCATAGATTAAAGTTTCAACCAGGTATAAATTCTAAAACTAAACTAATTTTATTTTTTGTAGTAAATCTTCCTTACAACTGTACGTGTTCTTAAATCATTTTTATTTTTAAACTTAAAATAATTAGTAGTATTTCATTAGTATTTTTTTGGAATATTTGATTCTTCTGTAATATTTGTAATTTTTGCGCTAACTTGCATTGTTTTTCTCTCCTATTCAGTGGCATGCTTTATCAAGGGAAGAGCAATCAAAATATTATGACTTAGCACGTAAAGAAAGGCAACTGCATATGCAATTGTACCCGGGATGGAGTGCACGGGACAACTACGCCCTTGTCAGTAAGAAAAAGAAACGCAAGAAGGACAAATCGCAGGGGGATGGATCAGGTTAGAAATACATTTTTCTTATATACATATATTGGAATTTAGAAAACATATAATCTGTTAATTCTATGAATGATGTTTACTCAATGAAATAAGAATTTTGAGGTACAGTATATAAGAGTAATTCTAGAATGGCAAGAGGGTCTGACTGTCGAGGTTTCCTTGAAATGGAATCCTATGTCGTAAAAGGCTACCAGAAACTAGAGGGCGCCCACTTCAAAAGAACATAGAAGACTTTCATATCCAACACATTCTAATAGGGCGCCACCTATCTTGTGGTACTAATTTGTTTTACTTTCAATTTTTGTGCATGTAAAATTAAGACAGTTGGACCTCTATACTCTTTGTAGTCAGTTGGCTTACAATTATGTCTGAAACTATTTTTGAACAGCTAAACCAGGCCTCCAGGTTTGTGTAGGCATCATTGGATTATTGCCAAATCAGTAACATAGAATCTTCTATATTGGAATAGTCTCCCTCTTCTCCCACTGAATTTTAGAATTCAGAATAAAATATGGAAAAATGAAATTTGCATTTAAATTCGAAGCCGTATGCAGACCAGCAAATTGTAAAAACATGTCCTAAATAGGCTCATGATGACATCATGATCATGACTATATAAAGGCACATCATGATCATATATGGGCCAAAAAAACAGTTTTTTGTCGAAGAAAATTTCGATAATCTGGACGGTGCTTTTGTGTCATTTCTGGATTCAACTATGATGGGGCTGAGGTTGTTGGACCTCTCCATTCATTCATTCATTCATTCATTCATTCTGGTTTATTAAAATGATAAAGTTGGGCATTGCAGTATTGCACTGAATTGCATCAAACTAACAATATCCATAAATTCCCTCCCTCTTTCCCCCACTATTTCAAATTCCTTGATCTGCCACTGATGTACCTTCATAATATCCTTCCAATCTTCATGTGCTATAAACTGTTCATGCCCAGACACTGGAATTTGCATCAATACAGATTTTTTATTGTATATTAGACAGATAATGATGTATGAGACCTTTGATCCGTCCAGAGAGCGTTTGATGTGCAGTTAATGTTTGGAAAAAAGTAAGGAGTAATTGTGTTGGCTAGATCACCAAGTCCCCAGACACTTCTAACTATTAGTATTCTAGTCTTTTACGCTTCCAATTTTCGAAGAACGTAATACAGTACACCAACTAATATAATGATGTCAGTTAGTATTGTAATGTTTTTTTTTTTTATCAAAGGTTTCTAGGTGTTAGTATGTTGTGTTTCTTTAAAGGTATATTGTCTGTTAATATTTGGAAAACAGAAAAAAAAAATCTAAACCTTACAGAACTTCAATCAAATTTATGGAATTGCTCATTGTTAAGGGATCAGTTTCTATGAGACAGTTTGAAACAAATAAGCTATTTTCCTGAATTTCAGATATTTTACTACATTAGGTTTGCCATTCCGAAAACAGTGCACTGTAAAAATGCAGCAGTATTGTATACTTTATTACAGAGAAGCCGTAATACTTTTACTCATATTTTTAAAAGGTCTATGTAGTGAAATGTAGAAAACCTAAATAATCGAATTGTTTTTTTTTTTTACCTTTGCAATAAAAATTTAGATCAAAATGCTTCACTTTTCACTGATTTATAGACATTTAAATCCTTTAATTGATACCAGCTAATTTAAGTTTTTTTTTTCAAAAGAATAGAAACTTTGTAAGGGTTATGTCT